TCTCTCAGTCACTCACGTAGCCTGTGGCCAAAATACAAGACAATAGGGTACAACAAGGCTATAGGCCCTTTTGATTTTTTTCTTTCTTTCCACTTAAAACACCAACACCTTCACTAAACGTGTCTACTATGCACTGAAAAATGTTACTTATCAACCAGATCATCATGTGCGATGACAAAAGATTGAATGTGAAGTATATTTTTTTTAATCTTGCATATTTTTAAAAACAATAACAATCCTTATTATTTTTATATTTAATTACTATTTTATTCAGAGAGGAAAAAAAGCTTAATTTTCTTTTTTAAATTTTTTTTTCAGGGTGATTAATTTATTTTCAGTATCTGAAAAAAGAAAGACAGACAAAATATTGTTATGGCAAAGGAGGACGAAATTCGAATACCTTTACTGCAGTTGTTTACCAGAAATAAAAGAGAACAGATTTATACTAAAGAAAAAAGGCACACACTGACTGCCCCAGTCACAATGGATATTAATTTATAAAATATGCCTGCACTAACATAGCCTCAAGACTAGCAGTTAAATGAAAGGAAAAAACAAAGTGATTAGATAAAGCAAAAATAGTGCTTATTTTGTATTACTATACACTTACATGTTGCTCATAAAATACATTGCTGATAAAAATATTTGCATATTGTATATGCCTATTTTGCCCTTATATTTAGTACTACTGTGTCTTTACCCAAAACTAGAGGTAAAACAAAGGCTACAAAAAAAGCTTTATCTAATTTGTTATCTAAATTAATGGCCACACTTTATTTTAAGGTCCAATTTTCGCTATTAACAAACCATTAACTATGACTTTTGCCATAGGTATTGGGTAGGATGTAAAATATGGTCTTGCAGAATATGTGCTTTATAAGCACTAGCAAACAGCCAATATGCTATCAATAGGCATGCTAATAAGCAACTAGTTAATAGTGAGAACTGGTCCCTATACTAAAGTGTTACCAAATTAACGATAACATTTTAATGATAAAAAATAAAATAAAATACAAATTTGTTTAGTACCTTGGGCTTCTATATAAAAAAAACAACAAAAAGTCAAATGAAAAACAGCGTGCACAAGTAAAAACCAAAACCAATTTCCAAATGTGTTTAATTGGGAAACCTCAAAGCTGTGCAGTAAACATGTCATGTGTTTTGTCTTCTGTACTCTGTGTCACAGCAAATTAAACATTTGGCACGAGTCACGACGAGTTCCTGATAAGCATAAATCTATTTCTGGGTTTCCCTCAGTACCACTGTCTCTTTAAGTAGATGCCTGTGGTTCACACATTTCATGTATCATGCCAGGAACGTATAGAGGACCGTGATGCGTTGACCACAGCGGAAAGCCAGCCACCATCTTATACGAACACGGGACGGGCTTTCTCCACCTCTGTAAGCAACAAAGCCATCTTGTCTCAATCCCACATTCATAATAAATGTCAAAAGCTGCGGTTAGCTTAAAAAAAACGGCTCCACATTTTGCTGTGGAGCTCTCTGACCACCAGGAACACTGTCTCTTTCATATACTCGGATGCAATAACAATCACTCGGCAAAACTAAAGGAAATAAATCGCACAATTAGAGGCCATTTACCCTTAATCTTTACATAAACACAGGCCACTTCAGCCATATTAAATAACCTCATCCACGCACCACAAGCTGTTCATCCTCACCATCAGTGTTCGAACTATACCGTGGACTTTGGGGTAGCCC